GAAGGGAGGAAGGGAGAGGGAGAGAGACAGAAAGACAGAGGAACAAAAGAGAACAAAAAAATATAGACTACACGCTTTTTTTTTTTTTTTTTTTTTTACACGATTTATTTCAACTATTGCTTCCAGGTCACATTAGGATGAAGCCTTTTACTCTTGAGTTGTTTGAGGAAAGTGTAAGTTAATCATTCCCGGTCCTTTAAAAAGACATCTATGACCAAAGGGCTGGGGATTTAGCTCAGCGGCACGACACCTACCTGGCAAGCGCAAGGTGGTCGTGAGTTCAATTCCTGGTACCAGGAAAAAACAAAAAACACAAAAAGAGACGTTTATGACCAATATGAGAATAGGTTAGATATATCACTTTTACAAAAAAATCTTTGTCAGATTTGAAGTAATCACTGTTTATTTTCCATTGAAAGAACTCTTGAAAACTGACTCTAAAGAGGTAGCTTTTTTTTTTTTTGGTACCAGGAATCAAATTCAGGACCTTGTGCTTGCCAGGTAGGCGCTTGTGCCACTGAGCTATACCTCCGGCCTAAAGAGGTAGTTTATTTGAAGAACTTCTAAAATTCCTTCCCATAGTAATGTGTATTTATATGACTGATTATAGCATTACCACTATTCGAGAGCTTTCAAAATATTTTCACATACAGTATCCATTCTTGAAACAACCTAGTAAAACAGGCAAGACAAATCCAACATTAAACAACAACAAAAAAGAAAATCCTTGACATTAGATAGATGAAGCCAAGGCTCTGAGAGACTTTTCCTTTTCTTAGGTCATGTGGCCTATCTTCTAGATTAATGTTCTTTTCAACAAACTATGTGGAAGAATCTCTGCTCTATTCAGTTCCATTATTATTTTCTTTCAGAGAGGAAGACATAGGAGCTAAATGACGTCCAATCCTAATCAGTTCTGCTTCTGCTTAGCTTTCAGGTATAAGATGGGAAACAGAAATATACTTTCTTACCCACAGGAACACAAGTAAAATGAGTTAGTAACATTAGCAGATAAAAGTATACATTTGCTGCTGAGTGTGATGATGCACACCTATAATTACAGTGTGGTGTGGTGACATACCTCCTTGGGAGGCTGAGGCAGGAAGATCACTGTTTGAGGCCAGTCTGGTCTACATAGTGAATTCAAGGACAGCCATGATTTTATAGTGAGCCCCTGTCTCAAAAACAAAAATAAATGTTACATTTGCCTATCATCCATTATCAAAACATTTGCCAGATACATATCTTATAAAACTGATAACTAACAAACTAATTTTTAACTTTCCTATTTAATTCATAAATGATTGTGCTTTGTTTTTGTGTGTGTGTGTGTCTTTGTTTTGTATGTGTGTGTTTTTGTTGTGTGTGTTTTTGTCTTTTTGAGCCAGGGTCTCGATATGCAATTCCGGCTGGACTTGAGCTCACTTTGAAGCCCAGGCTGGTCTTGAACTTGTGAGGATCCTCCTACCTCAGCCTCCTGAACACTGGGATTACAGGCGTGCGCCACCACGCCCAGCGGGAATGACTGTGCTTTGGACTATAATATACACTGTAACATTCATAATTTTTTTTTAAATTCTTGTATTTTAAAATATTACAACCACTTACATACTCGATTCTTTGGAAGTTAGCTAGATACCACATTTCTGCATCTTAGAGAAGGGAAACTAAACTGGCGCATGCCTGTAATCCCAGCACTAGGGAGGCTGAGGCAGGAGGATCATTGCAAGTTCAAGGCCAGCCGGGGCTACAAAGTGAGCTCAAGGTCAGCCTGAACTACATAGTGAGAAATTCACAGGTATGATGATGCAGGCAGTACTAAAACAACATAGTTCACTAAGATGCTTAGTCTATGAGTCAGTACTCAAGAATTCTCCTCCTTTATGGTCCTCAAAGGTTGTACTAGTGATTCAGAGGTGACTCCCTTTTACTCTAGAGATTGCATCATTCATCTCTTTCAACAGGATTTGTAATATAGAGCAACACTGACACTTTTTTGAGTTGCATCAGTCTAGTATCAAGACAGCAACCACCATTTGGCTATTGTGTTTTTGTATCATTTCAAGCAAACATTTTGTGTGTAGCACAGTCCATTTCCATTAAAACTGTTTCAGGGTTGGGGATTTAGCTCCGCGGCAAAGCACCTGCCTGGCAAGTGCAAGGTCGTGAGTTCGATTCCTAGTACCAGAAGAAAAAAAAAAAAAAAAAAAAGCTGTTTCATCCTTAACCTTGATTGATGAAATCCACTTTTGTACATTTCCTTTCTCTCTTTTTTTTTTTTTGTCCTTTTGAGACAGGGTCTCGCTATGCAGTTCAGGCTGGCCCTGAGCTCATTTTGTAGCCCACGCTGGCCTCGAACTCACAACGATCCTCCTGCCTCAGCCTCCTGAGAGCTGGGATTACAGGCATGCGCCACCACGCCCGGTCCAAATGTGAACTTTTAAAATGTTCAGAGCCTTAGCTATGAAGTCAACCTGGATATCAAACCTAATGCCATCATTCATCAGGCTAGATCTGTGACTGAACTAGTTATTTAATCACCTTTGGTCTCAATATTCTCATCTGGAAAATGGGACATAGCTGCGAAGAACTGAACTGTGAGAAGCGTATGATGTATAAGGACACAGAGAACAAAGCCTGGCATACAGTAAACTTAAAGAATAGCCTCGATTATTACTATTATTTACAGCAGGGCATTATACAAGAACAAAGCATTTCAAAGGCAAGTGCTTTTAGCACAACAGCCCTTCCCAGGAAAAATATAGAAAGGCACCACGAATGGATAAGGAGGGATCTGCCAATGATAACCTAAGGCACAAAGGGAAATGCTGGGAAGGGGAAGTTAGCAAAAAATGTTCTATCGCGGGGTTGGCGTAGTGACATAAATAAATTTTCAAGCGAGGGCTGCCACAGCGGGGAGGGAGGCTGAGCGCGAGGAGGCAATCCCTGGCCGGGCAAGTACTGGGGCGTATGGAGGGGCAGGACAATGCGGAGAGAAGCGAGAAAGACAAATAAAGCGGACTGAATGCGGAGAGACAGGACTAGCTGGGAGGAGCCTCGATGAGGGACCCGACGGAGCCCAGAGGCGAGGCCGGTGAACAACAAAAGGCCCTGAGACTCGCATACCCGAGTACCGGTCGTGGCCGCCGAGGGCCGAGAATGTGTTCTAAGGTGATGACAGCATCTATGATGAGGCCGGGCTCCTGGGGATGGCATGGAACCCGGCAGGAGAAAAAGCCGCTTCCTGCTTCGGGATGAGGTACAGAGGAGCGGAGGACGATGAGTACGGAGGAGAAAGACTCCCGTCCCACCGCCCCACGGGAACCGGCGCCCCAGACCGAACTCGGGAGGTCCCCTGGGGCCAGGCTTGAAGGAAGTACCCTAGCAGTTACTGGCGGAAACCGCCTGAGGGTGAGAGGTCATAAGAGCAACTGGCAGCTGCTGAACCAATGGGGACAGCAGACGAAGCGGATGTTGCTTCTCATTGGTGATTGTCGGGAACAAACAGCAGCCAATAAGTCCTCCTGGCAGGCGTAGCTGTGACGTTTATTGCGGAGGAGGCCGCTTCGAATCGGCGGCGGCCAAGTTGGTGGCCTGGGCCAATCAGCGACCTCCAACGAGAAGCACCTTCACCAATCGGCGGCCTCCACGACGGGGCTGGAGGGAGGTATATAAGCCGAGTCGGCGACAGCGCGCTCATCACCGGTGGAGACAGCACTGGACGCTTTGATTTGGTGTGCGCCTGTGTGAGAGGTAAGCCCTACGGCCTGCTTTTCCGGGCCCGTCCTTTGCCTTTTTCGCCATCTGGCCTATCCTGACCCCCGGCCTCTGTCGCTTTCAGATCCGTGACCTCTCCGCGCCCGGGTTCTGCGGCCTGTTGCTGGATTGTCCGCGGCTCCTGCTGACCGACTGGCTGACGGCGCCACCGCGATGAAGCTGTGTCTGGTGGCTGCGGTGCTCCTGCTGCTCGGCGCGGCGCGGGCCGAGGAGGAGGACAAGAAGGAGGACGTGGGCACGGTGGTCGGCATCGACCTGGGGACCACCTACTCCTGGTGAGTGGGGTTCGTGGACGGGGGCCGGGGCGGGGCCCCCTGGACCGGCGGGAAGCGCCGTGCTGATCTCTTCTGTTGGGTTTTTCCGCCAGCGTGGGGGTGTTCAAGAACGGCCGCGTGGAAATCATCGCCAACGACCAGGGCAACCGCATCACGCCGTCCTACGTGGCCTTCACCCCCGAAGGAGAGCGGCTGATCGGCGATGCGGCCAAGAACCAGCTCACCTCCAACCCCGAGAACACTGTCTTCGACGCCAAGCGGCTTATTGGGCGCACTTGGAACGACCCCTCTGTGCAGCAGGACATCAAGTTCTTGCCTTTCAAGGTCCGACTGGGTTTTTTCCTCCGAATGTAGAAGATGATGGGTGGAGTGGTGGAGGAATTCGGGGACCAAGTAGCAGAAAAATGTAGATGCCCAAAAAAGGATACACAGTAGACGCGATACAATGAAGTTTTCATTAATAGTTTTAGTATGCTACAAAAAGTAAGACAGCATCGTTGGCATACAGATACTCTGTCCACCGCGGTGTAGGATTAAAAGGCTGATTAAAATTGGAGAAATCTGACTTAATAAGATACCTTTATACTCCCTCAGTAATGCTAGTGAATGTTCACCTCCCAGGGACCAAAATAAGCCAGACCATGGGGAGGGAGGAGGTGAGGCTTTAAAAGTTTGAAATGTTGCTTAAGTGGCTGGAAAAATTTTATACTAAGTTATTCTTTAAAATAGGTGGTTGAAAAGAAAACTAAACCATACATTCAAGTTGATATTGGAGGTGGGCAAACGAAGACATTTGCTCCTGAAGAAATTTCTGCCATGGTTCTCACGAAAATGAAGGAAACCGCTGAAGCTTATTTGGGAAAGAAGGTAAATAATTCCAGAACACTGTTAAATGTCCCAAGATTATTACTATTGTTCTTAGTTATGTCCTGTCATTGAAGTCTCTATGGCTTTAGAAATTTGAATCAGAACAACATCCATGTTTATCAGGTTTAATTATTTGGTGCTTTCATGTAGGCCAAACAAAATGCTAGACGGTTTTCCTGTGTTCGAAACTTACTGTTTGAAGTTGTGGCTATGGAATTGTGTATATAACCAAGTGCTTTCTCAGTGATAAAGGTAGCCCATCACTCTCATGAAATTGGATATGTGGTACTCTTAGTAGACTAGCTTAGATGCTAAAGTAGTGGTTTGACTGTAATTTAAATAGACGTTAAAGCCTGTGACAATACAGTAATTGCCATCTGTTACCTTTTTAGGTTACTCATGCAGTAGTTACTGTACCTGCCTACTTTAATGATGCTCAAAGGCAAGCAACCAAAGATGCTGGAACAATTGCTGGGCTTAACGTTATGAGGATCATCAATGAGCCGTAAGTGTGAAATTCAAGGATGTAGCACTTAGCCAGTGGAGGAAATGCGAACTTCGCTAAGATGTTTCCCTGCTTTTTGTTTGAACAGGACAGCAGCTGCTATTGCTTATGGTCTGGATAAGAGGGAAGGGGAGAAGAACATCCTGGTGTTTGACCTGGGTGGTGGAACCTTCGATGTGTCTCTTCTCACCATTGACAATGGTGTCTTCGAAGTCGTGGCCACTAATGGAGATACTCACCTGGGTGGAGAGGACTTTGACCAGCGTGTTATGGAACACTTCATCAAGCTGTACAAAAAGAAGACTGGCAAAGATGTGAGGAAGGACAACAGAGCTGTGCAGAAACTCCGGCGTGAGGTGGAAAAGGCCAAGCGGGCCCTGTCTTCTCAGCATCAAGCAAGAATTGAAATCGAGTCTTTCTATGAAGGAGAAGACTTTTCTGAGACGCTGACTCGGGCCAAATTTGAAGAATTAAACATGGTATGTGCCTTGGTGTTTGCTTTCCTAGTGAGACCTAGTTAAGAGTCTCTGAATTTAGGACAATGCATATAGATCCAGACAATATCTAGGTAACACGTAACACAGCAACTGTGTCTTTTATTCTAGGACCTGTTCCGCTCTACCATGAAGCCTGTCCAGAAAGTGTTGGAAGATTCTGACTTGAAGAAGTCTGATATTGATGAAATTGTTCTTGTTGGAGGCTCCACTCGAATTCCAAAGATTCAGCAACTGGTTAAAGAGTTCTTCAATGGCAAGGAGCCATCCCGTGGCATAAACCCAGATGAGGCTGTAGCTTATGGTGCTGCTGTCCAGGCTGGAGTACTCTCTGGTGATCAAGATACAGGTAGGCCACTGTCACAGCATCTTTTTTGTTGTTGTTGAGACAGGGTCATGCTCTGTCATTTGGGATGGTCTTAAACTCACTGTGTAGCTCAGGCTGGCCTCTCTCAGCAATCCTTCTGCCTTAGCCTCCTGAGTGCTGCTGGGATTATTACAGTCATGTGTCACTATGCCCAGCTTGTCACAGTATCTTGCACAATGCTTAAGTAGCTCACTGGGAGGTCGGGGATGTAGCTCAGGGTCACAGGGCCTGCCTGGCAAACATGAGGCCTAGAATTTGATTCTTGGTGCGCACACGCGTGCACATGCACACATACACACACACACACACACACACACACACACACACACAGAGTAGCTCACTGGAAAGGCAGAAATAAGCTTTTACTTTAGAAAATAGAATATGCAGCTAAGAAAGGAACTTCAAAGGCAAGACCTGGGGCAGTCTTGAGATTCTTAGTAGCTGTTTAATTCAGTTCTTCTATATGTTTATGGTCAGCACCTTAGTAAATGGCAAAACAGAAGATACATTTAGTTCATGGGGAAGGTTGGTAGTGGTCTTATAACTTGTGTTGGAACTTACCTTGATTTATCTACTTTTTCAGGAGACCTGGTACTGCTTGATGTATGTCCCCTTACACTTGGCATTGAAACTGTGGGAGGTGTCATGACCAAACTGATTCCAAGAAACACTGTGGTCCCTACCAAGAAGTCTCAGATCTTTTCCACAGCTTCTGATAATCAACCAACTGTTACAATCAAGGTCTATGAAGGTAATTATATTTGTCGATACTGTGGTAGGTCTTAAAAGAACATGACTTATTGTTTAATAGTATCAAAAGTGTTAGGGAAAGAAGTATCTGCTCTTTTCAGATGGAAGAAGTCCTTAATTTGACTAGTGTTGAATTTCATAGCGTCCGTATTTAACTAGGTTATTTAGACTTGTTCCTGTTAAAAAATAACTTTTGAGCTGGTTCCTTGAATACAAGAATAAGAAAAGGGTTTACAGTGCATAAAAGTAGATAAAATTCTGTGAAGGCAGTGATGGGCAAACTTTTCAGAGCTTTCAGTGATACAGCCTGCTGCGGCACACATGACGTAGTTCACCGCTTTAAGAGAACACAGTTCCAGCTCCTTGCAGGCCAATACTGAGTCACTTTAGCTTGATAAAGCGTCCTTGCCCTGCTGTAGGCTCTAACAGAAATGGGATCTAGACACCCAGTGCTTGTCAGCAACTCAGTTTTCTGTTTAACTTGTAGGTGAGCGACCTCTGACAAAAGACAATCACCTCCTGGGTACATTCGACCTGACTGGAATTCCTCCTGCTCCCCGCGGGGTCCCTCAGATTGAAGTCACCTTTGAGATAGATGTGAATGGCATTCTTCGGGTGACAGCTGAAGACAAGGGTACAGGGAACAAAAATAAGATCACAATCACCAATGACCAAAATCGCCTGACACCTGAAGAAATTGAAAGAATGGTCAATGATGCCGAGAAGTTTGCTGAGGAAGACAAGAAGCTCAAGGAGCGCATTGACACTAGAAATGAGTTGGAAAGCTACGCCTACTCTCTAAAGAACCAGATTGGAGATAAAGAAAAGCTAGGAGGCAAACTTTCCTCAGAAGATAAGGAGACCATGGAAAAAGCTGTAGAGGACAAGATTGAATGGCTGGAGAGCCACCAAGATGCCGACATTGAAGACTTCAAAGCAAAGAAGAAGGAATTAGAAGAAATTGTTCAGCCAATTATCAGCAAACTCTATGGAAGTGCAGGCCCTCCCCCGACTGGCGAAGAGGATACAGCAGAAAAAGATGAGTTGTAGACACTGATCTGCTAGCGCTATAATATTGTAAATACTGGACTCAGGAACTTTCGTTAGGAGAAAATTGAGAGAACTTAAGTCTCGAATGTAATGGGAATCTTCACCTCAGAGTGGAGTTGAAAATGCTATATAGCCCAAGTGGCTGTTTACTGCTTTTCATTAGCAGTTGCTCACATGTCTTGGGGTGGGGGGAGAGGACAAATTGGCCATCCTAAAAAAACTGGGTAAAAAAAGTTGGGTCAAGGGTGTGTGTTCACCTCAGAAATGTTCTATTTAACAATTGGGTCATGTACATCTGGTGTAGGAACTTTTTTTCTACCATAAATGACACCAATAAATGTTTGTTATTTACACTGGTATAATTTTTGCAAAAACCTAATTAGATCAGTCATGTATTGCAGAATGATAACAGAAGGTTAGATTCTCATTTGGATGGGGGCATGTGGGGTTATGTAGGGGGTGCAGAGTAAGAAAACCTTTCTGTCATCACTTTTTTTTTTGGTTTTTTTCCAGTACTGGGAATTGAACTCATGACCTTGTACTTGCCAGGCAGGCGCTGTGCCGCTGAACTAAATCCCCAGCCCCTAAGAAAACCTTTCTGTTCCAAAGCAAAGGGGAGGGAGGCATGCTGTACCCTTACCCAGCAAGGGCTATCTCACAGTACCCAGGAGTCGAGTTTTTCTTCAACATAATTGAAATTTTCTAGGTTTCCTTTCTAAAACTTGGCTTTTTGTAATGAGTGATGCGTTATAGCTGGCTTTACAGTTTCTTGGATTCTCTTCAGAATTGATGGAACCAGGTGTGATGGTGCACACCTGTAACTCCAGCACTGTGGCAGGGTGAGGCAAAATCTAAAGTTCAAGTCCAGCCTGGGCAATTTAGCAACTTAGACCCTGTTTGAAAACACGGGATGAGGGGTATAAGTGTAGCTCATTGCAAAGGCTCTGGGTTCATTCCCTAATACCAAAATATATTTTTGGGGGCTGAGGATTTAGCTCAGCAGCAAAAGTGCCTGCGTGGCAAGCGCAAGGTCGTGAGTTCGGTTCCTGGTACCAGAGAAAAACCAAAACCCCAAAAAAAACTAAAAAAAAAAAGACACAGACAAATCAAAATATATTTTTGTGGTGAACATGGTATGCAGTACAGGTCTGCAGGTCTTTTTTTTTTTTTTTTTTTTTTTTTTGGTACCAGAAATTGAACTCAGGACCTTGCACGTGCCAGGTAGGTGCTTATGCCACTGAGCTATATCCCAACCCTACCATCAAGTGTTAAAACTGAGCACTTTGTGTCCTTGGGGGCCAGTAGGGTAGGAGGAACAAGAGTTATCTGCAGCAGGGCTGGGGATTTAGCTCAGTGGCACAGCACCTGCCTGGCAAGTGCAAGATCATGAGTTTAATTCCCGGTACCGGAAAACAAATAAAAAATCTGTTTGAAATCGTGATTTCAATTCTTTGGGACTGGGCATTTAGCTCAGGGGCACTTGAGCTGGGGACCTGGCAAGCGCAAGGTCATGAGTTTGGTTCCCTGTACCGGAAAAAAACAAACAAAAAACAAGAGTTATTTGCAGCATCCCTGTCGCCAAAAGCTACCATTACTGCGTATAGTAAACCTCAGGATCAGATGAAGAGTTCGACTGGTAAATGTCCACTCCTGTTTACAGCTTGTGCTGTGTCCCCCATACTCCAGCACACCTTCGGTACCTTCAGTACTAGGGATTGAACCCAGGCCCTTCACGTTCAGCTACATCACCAGCCCATGTATTTTGAGACAGGGTCTTAAGTTTCCCAAGTTGGGCTTGAACTCCTGCCGCAGGCTCCCAGCTTTATGTTATCTGTAGGTTTTATTGCTGGTGCAACTCTTTCTGCAATGGAAGATTCTGCACTGGGCTACCCAGTTCATTTCTTCACTTACAAAGTAGATAAAGAAGAAGGCAGATATGTTTGTTGTACAAAAAGTAGTTTGGAGATAAACAGCTAGAGCTTCACTTTGATGAAAGTAAGTGGCTTTTATTAGTCAACTACAGTCACAATACAGTCATCATAGATCTCCCCTTCTGTATTCATTCCCCCAAACACGAAGCAGAGCAGAGTGTCAGTCTGACATTCCTCATGTAAGTCACCCCTCTGGGTCACTTCTTTGTCAACAGAATCTCCTTCCTCAGCCTCACAGTTCAGTGTGACTAATTCTGAGTCTTTCTCAGCAGTAGATGTCACTGGCCATGGAATGATACACATGGAGTGGTCCAGTCGTCCAGGGGGTAGAAAAGTATCAAATGTAAGTAAGGTCCAATGCTGTTTTTCTGTTAGGGACAAAACAACAGAAACAGAAAGGCTTATGTTAAGAAATTTCCAGAAATGCTTTGTGACTTACTAAATCAGCTGAGCACAACAAACAAGAAATGAAAGAGAAAAAAAGCTCACTGCTAGTGTTATTGCTTTAATGACTCATTCACTAGAGTTTAGTTTGCATTCTTTTGGATTTAGACAAATTGAAAAGCCAAAGACAGAATGTTTAAAGACCACAAGTTGACACTTGCTCACCTGTGTGATAACGGTACATGGTGTCCAGTGCCCCGGTGGGAGTCATCCCTCCAAAGACATACACATGTTTTCCCACAGCCACGGCTGAGTGAGCAGCACAGCCTGCTGGAGTAGCACCCGTGGGACTGAGCTGCTGCCACCTCATGTCACCTATTGAAAGATTTGGTGCTTTAAAACTTATACTTTCCAAATCAGGCACTGAGAGTCATTCACTAGGAGGTCTGAGAGATCACAGAGGAAGGTTTAGTGTGTCCCAATTAGTTGGAGATGGTCACAGTGGTGCACAACTGTCATCCCAGATACTTGGGGTGATAAGGTAGGAGGATCACAAGTTCAAACTCAGCTGGGGGTGGTGGTGCATCCCTGTAACCCCAGCACTTGGGAGGCTGAGGCAGGAGGATTGCTTTGAGTTTGAGGCCAAGACTCTGTCTTAAAAAAAAAAAAAAAAACAAAACAAGAAAACCCCCCAAACAAAAGCAAGTTTAAACCCAGGCTGGCTGATTCAGTAACACCCTGTCTCAAAATAAAAGACTGGATGTCCAGGTGTGGTGGCGCACCCTTGTAACCCAAGCACTCGGGAGGCTGAGGCAGGAGGATTGTGAGTTTGAGGCTAGCCTGAACTACAAAGTTGAGTTCAAGACCAGCTTAAACTGCCTAGGGAAACCTTGTCTCAAAAAAGGGTGGGTGGGGGTGCTGGATGTAACTCAGTGGTAGAGTGCCTCTTGGTTCCATCCCAGTACTGAAACAACAACAAAAAGAAAACCAAAAAGTTACTGGAAGTAGCTTGAAATTTTGATCAGTAGTCTTGCAGGGAAAGAAGGGAATTCAGATGTAGGTAGTCTTGATGTGATGTAAGTGTTCATATTTTTTATATTGACCATCACCTTAACTGTTCAACATCAACTGCCTCAGTAAAGTTCTGTGACTTCATGTTTAAAAACTAAAGTTTCTTGCCAGGTATGGTGCCACTCGCCTGTAATCCCAGCACTTAAGAGGCTGAGGCAGGAGGATGGCTCTGAGTTAGAGGCTAGCCTGAAGTACATATTGAGTCTCTGTATAAAAAAAATAAACAGCAACAACCAAAGGAAAAAAAAAAACCCTAGAAGTTCTTAAGTAACTTTCTAAATGTTGGCTAGATTTCTTTTTTTTTTTTTTGGTCTTTTTGAGACAGGATCTTACTACACAGTTCAGGCTGGCCTTGAGCTCACTCTGTAGCCCAGGCTGGTCTCAAACTGGCAATAATCCTCCAGTCTCAGCCTCCTGAGTGCTGGGATTACAGGTGTGCGCCACCACGCCCTGCTGCAGCCCAGTGCTTTTTAAATTTTCTTGGTTTTTGTTGTTGTTGTTGCTTGTTTTTTTGAGACAAGGCCTCATTACATAGTTTAGGCTGGCCTCAAATTCACAGCAATCCTGTCTCAGTCTCCTGAATGCTGGAATGACAGCTGTGTGCCACCATGCCTTTTTTTTTTTCCTTCAGATAGTCTCATTATGTAGTTCAGGCTGGCCTTGAACTATGAAACTCAGGTTGGCCTCAGCCTCCCAAGTCCTGGGGATTAAAGGTGTGTGCCAACACATCCAGTATTTTTTTATTTTGAGACAGGCTCTAGCTTAATTGCTAAATTTCCCAGGTTGGGCTTAAACTTTAGGTATTCCTGCCTCAACCTCCTAGAGTACTGAAATTACACCTGGCTCCTTTGCTTACTTGGTATCTATTTATTTAGCTATCTATCTAGCTACGTACCTACCTATGAATGAATGATAGTGAGGATAGGGATGTTCTACCAATGAGCCACATCCTCAGCCATTTATTTTGCTAACTTGTCAAGGAGGAACCCAAAATTGAGATTCTTCTGCCTCAGCCTCCCTCAGTGCTGGAATTACAGGCATCCACTACTGTACTCAGCTCTTTTTAAAAATCAGTATGTCCAGGTGCAACGCACAAACCTGCAATCTCAGCTATCTGGGAGGCTGAGGCAGGAAGATCACAAATTTGAGCCCAGCTTGGGCAACTTAATGAAACCTCGTCTACACAAATAAATAAATAAGTAAATAGGGCTGAGGCTGCAGCTCAGTACTTCCTTGGTCCAACAATAACAAATTAATAAATGAAAATGAACTGAAAATGAACTGAAAATCCCATCTGCCCGCCTGTGGGGAATGCTTCTGTAAAGATGATTTTCATCTATCAGTGCAAGGCCAGGGTCAGCGTTGCAGAGGAGGTAAGGAGAATCGCCCTGCCTGGTCAAACTGTAGCTGACGCAGGAATCCCAGCCAAAGTTCCCTGGCTCCAGAGCACCCGGTGCCTGGGAAAGCAGTCAAATACCCTGCGCAGAACTTCTGTGCCTTCCGTCCGTTGTTCCGCTGTTCTTGTGGTCTGATGCAGAGCCTGTTCATTTCATCATCCACCAACCCCTGCACAGATGCACACTTCTCACCCGCTGTGTGCCACACATGGTGCCAAGTGCTAGGCACACGCTGGCATGCGAAAGAGGTGAAGTCCCTGTGCAGATGGAGCTCACAGTTTGCAGGAGTGAGGCCAGGCTCTCCAGAGCATGCCAGCTCTGCAGACACTTGAAACAACTCTCATGTTTCAACTTTCTCCTCCAAGAGTTTTCAATGATTTATTCTGAGAAGCACGAAACTCTCAGCATCCACATCTAGACTCAGCCGAAATGTTATCCCAGTCCTGTGCAGGTAGTCACCAAGATCTCAAGGAAACCCAGTTGGGGAACATGCAGCACAACAGGTTGTCGGAAGGATTAGAGATAGTAAATGGCCAAGCACAGACTAAGCTCTCGGTAATCACTGCCTTTATTGTTACGATTACTGATTGTTATTCAGGCCACACTTGACAGAATCTAATGGAGATTTTGCCAGCTGGTCAAGTTACCCGTACTGAACAGAAGAGCAAAGCTATATTCTTTCAGGGCACATCTTAAAAACTTTTAAGGAACTGCCAAGCCCCGCCCCCTACTTACTTATGTCAATGCAATGGAGGTCATCAAAGAATGTGTCCCCCGCGAGGCCTCCGTGGATAAAGAGCTTTGTCCCTGTTGCCACCATCACATGACCATGCCGGGGAGATGGAGGATTTCCAAGTGTCTCTGGCTGTGACCAGGTCTGCGTGTCTAGAAAAGTAAAGTCACTGGCATCAACTGGCAAAGCTAGAAAGCAAGAATGACAGCAACACACCTGCGCCTATCACCGGCCATCAGGAAGAGACTTTGCAGTCCCTGCCTCCAACTCCCCTCTACAGCCTCTGCTCAGACATTTGCAGGGCGGAGTGCCCGTTAGATTTTTTTTTTTTTTTTCTTTTTGAGACAGGGTCTCCCTATGCAGTTCAGGCTGGCCTTGAGCTCACTTTGTCGCCCAGGTTGGTCTCGAACTAGCAACGACCCTCCTGCCTCAGCCTCCTGAGTGCTGGGATTACAGGTGAGCGCCACCACGCCCGATGGTGTGGCGATGTGATTCCTAAGTATTAAACTTAGGAACTTCACATTGAGCTACCTCCCTAGCCCTTTTTATTTATTTATTTTTGAGGCAGGGTTTCCCTAAGTCCCTAAATTGCCCAGGCTGGCAATAAACTTGCCATCTTCCTGCCTCAGCCTCCCAAAGTGTGGGGATTACAAACGTGCACCAACATGCCTGGCTTGGAAAGTTCACTATTTAACATATCTACCCCTTCTCTTGGGCATTAGAGTAGCATGCCTTGCTTTGAATTTAAAAAGCTCTCCTTTCAGCTTCAACCTGGAACTGCTCTAAAGTTAAAATAAATGGACCGGGTGTGGTGATGCATGCCTGAAATCCCAGCACTCAGGAAGCTGGCAGAAAGATCTCTGGGCGTTTGAGGTCAGCCTGGGCTACAAAGTGAGTGTGAGGCCAGCCTGAACTGCATAGCGAGACCCTGTCTCAAAAAGACAAAAAAACCCAAAACGAAATAAAACAAATGACTGTTTTTCTTCAGTACTGGGGATTCAACCTAAGATTTGTTCTGAGTTACATTCCCTGTCCTTTCTTATTTTAAGACATGGTCTTGCTAGGTCTCTAAATTGCCCAGTCTAGGCTTAAACTTGAGATCCTCCTGCCTTAGCCTCCCAGAGAACTGGGGTTACAGATGTGCACCACTACGCCCAGCTGAGTCTGCTCCTTCAAAGACAGGACTTGTCTTCTGGGGTGCTGGGGACTGAACCTAAGGCTTCATACATGCTAAGCACATGTTCTGCACTGAACTGTCCAGCCCAGAGTCTTTTTCTTTTAAGAGTCTTTTTTCTTTCAATTTATCTGAATCACCACTTATGATATGCTTTCTGGGTGTTCAAGAAGCACTCAGTGTTCCAAAGTATACAATTTAAAATAATCTCAAAAGGATTTTATGCAAATATGTTCCTCATAGGATTGAAATAGAGAAGATATAGAAATAGCTTATCAATAAGTAAATGGTTGCGTTACTTGCTATAGCCATGGTGGAATACTATGTTCTCTTAAAAAAATGTTCGCAAGGACTTTGGAATGCATGGGGAAAATGTTCATGTGAAATTTACAAGATGCAAATATTGTCAGGTGAATCCCAGCACTCTAGAGAGTAAAGCAGGAAGATTATCCCAAATTGGAGGTCAGCCTGAGCTGCATAGTGAGTTCAAGGCCAGCCTGAGCTACACAGAAAGACCGTTTCAGCCAGGCATGGTGGCGCACACCTGTAATCCCAGCACTCGGGAGGCTAAGGCAGGAGGATCACTGTGAGTTGGAGACCAGCATGGGCTACAAAGTGAACTCAAGGCCAGCCTGAACCGCACAGCGAGACCCTGTCTCAAAGAAGACCAAAAAAAAAAGAAAGAAAGAAAGAAAGAAAGAAAGAAAGACCGTTTCAAAAAAAGATAAAAATATTTCATATCGAATTATCTCTGCTGTTTTCAAAGAATTAGTAAGTGCATTAACAGGTTAACAGTAAATTTTTGGGTGATAGTATAGTATTAGTTATGATTTCTATACAGAGCTGCACACATATTTTCTTCTACATAGTCATAGTTTCATTCATCCAAAGGCCATGTTATTCAAAATTTTTAAGCCCATTCTTTTTTGGAAGAGTAAAGTCATACTATTATGTATCTTTTTTGTTGTTGTTTTGTTTTTTGTTTTGTTTTTTGTTTTGTTTTTTTGTTTTCTCCGGTACCGGGAACCGAACTCACAACCTTGCGTATGCCAGGCAGGCGCTTTTGCTGCTGAGCTAAATCCCCAGCCCCACTATTATGTATCTTAATTCTCCCAACTTTACTTTGGAAGTTTGAAATTTCACTTACTGTATTCCATTTTCTCAAAAGAGGCTTCACCTTTACTATAGCACACATTAAAAATGTTTTTGTCTGGGCTGGGGATTTAGCTCAGCGGCACAGCACCTGCCTGGCAAGCATGAGGTCGTGAGTTCAATTCCTGATACCGGAAAAAAAAAATGTTTCTGTCACATATTATTTGTAAAATGTTATTCATAAATGTCCTCCAGTAAGGGAAAGAAATGTTAATTAAATGCTCCTTGAACAACAATTTGTAGGGGGGTTTTTTGGTACTAGGAATCGAACTCAGGACCTTATGCTTGCCAGGCAGGTGCTGTGCCGCTGAGCTAAATTCCCAGACCTTGAACATCAATTTGTCAAGAGATTTCCCTCTTTTTTTTGGAGATAGGCTCTCACTATGTATTTCAGGCTGGCCTTGAACTTACTATGTAGCCCAGGCTGGCCTTGAACTTGGGGTGATCCTCCTGCCCTAGACTGCGGAGTGGTGGAGTTACAGGTGTGCATGACCACACTTGACAAGACATCTTGCTTTTATTTAATGAAATAATTTAAAACTTTTTTTGGTCTTTCGAGATAGGGTTTCACTACGCAGTACAGGCTGACCTTGAACTTTGTAGCCCAGGCTAGCCTTGAATTTGCAGTGACCTTCCTGCCTCAGTGTTCACAGCACAGCCTTTAATTTACTTATTTTTGAGAGATCTTACAATTTCAACTATTTATACCACTTTGAACCACTAATTATCCTCCCCACATCTATTCCATCTAAATGTTTGTATAGATTAATATATACAAATTTTCATCATGACTTGGGCTTTTGGCTAAGATCAAGTATAGTATCTCTTCTTATCAGTTTGATATATACAAATTTTGACTTTAACAGTGCCAGGAAAAAGCCAATCAGCAAGCAGAAAAATGACTGAAAAACAGGTACCCACAGCAAGATATGCTTTGTGGGGAAACTGGTACTAACTTAGTAAGATATCCATGAGACATAATGACATGAAGAAATAATAATAGCCAGTAATTGTCAGATTCTTCATTTGTGCTAGGCACTGTATCACATTATCTCATTTAATACTTACAACTTTTTATGGTAAGCATTAAGATTTTCTCTATTTAACAAATAAGCAAACTAAGGTGTTATGATAACTAGTTTATAGTGACACAGAAAGTACATGTGGGATCTTGTCCTGAGTCTAAGTTATTTCACTTCAAAGTTTATATTTTCAAATACTAAGACCTAGCTCTATTTTCTAAAATTAAACCACCTCAAGTATGCGTAAGTTGATTCCATGTATGTGCTTCTACAGTTTTGTATAATTTCAGAATTTACAGAGTATATACATATATATCTCTGTAAATTTTATATATATTATAATATATACATATTATATTTTTATAATATATATTATACATATAATAAATGCATAGAAGGGTCTGGAGGAAGGCATTAGGAACTACCAGTGGTATTTACCTCTGCCTGGGGGGTAGAAAGGAAAGATGAAAGGGGAAACTTTTACTGTTCTTACTTTATACACTATACTTTTTTTTTCTGAGATATGGTCTCACTATGCAGGCTGGCCTTTAACTCACTTTTACCCTAGGCTACCCTTGAACTCACAGTGATCCTCCTGCCTCAGCCTCCTGAGTGCTGGGATTATAGGTATGTGCCTCTACATCTGGCAATATACCATTTAATTTTTTTGCAGGGTGGGTACCAGGAATTGAATCCAGGGCCTCGGGCTTGCCAGGCAGGTGCTGTGCTGCTGAGCTACATCCTAGGCCCTATTTAATTTTTAAAAATTGTTCAGTTATACCTTTTTAAATGCAAAATGTTGGGCTGGGGGTGTAACTCAGGGGCACAGTGCCCGCCTGGCAAGCATGAAGCCCTGAGTTTGACTCCTGTTATCCAAAAAAAAAAGCCAAATGTTACTACAGGAAGGATAAATCAGTTGAGGAATACATCAAAGAAGTCTAGAACTGAAACACTCAGCCATGGTCTGTGTCTTTTTTCTCCCTTCCTTCCTTCCTTCCTTCCTTCCTTCCTTCCTTCCTTCCACGTCTTCCTTCCTTCCTTCTGCTCATTTGTGTTTTCAGGGTTTTTTTTTTTTTTTGTCTTTTTGAGACAGGGTCTCTCTATGCAGTTCAAACTGGCCTTGAGCCCACTTTGTAGCCCATGCTGATCTCAAACTTGCAATGATCCTCCTGCCTCAGCCTCCTGAGTGCTGGGATTACAGGCGTGCGCCACCACACCCGGCCATTTGTTTGTTTTTATTTTTTATTTTTTATTTTTTTTGGTTTTTCTCTGGTACCGGGAACCAAACTCACGACCTTGCGCTTGCCAGGCAGGCGCTTTGCCACTGAGCTAAATCCCCAGCCCCCATTTGTTTGTTTTTAGAGACAGCATCTGGCTGTGTACTTTAGGCTGGCCTTGAACTTACTCTGTAGCCTAGGCTGGCCTCAAAGTCAGAGATCCTCCTGCCTCAGCCTCCAGAGTATTGGGATCACAGGCCCGTACAAACACACCAGCCATTGTTTCAGTATCTAACCTCTACTTCCTACATCAGGTGAGCGCAGGCCACAATGTCCCTCAGCAGCTAAGTACCAGCCCAAGGTGCCCGCCAGTCCATACTTGCATCAAACACATGTAGCTTCTCATCCTGCACGGGCTGAGCACCTCTCTCTCCACCTCCGAAGACGTAGAGCTGGTTTCCAATGGCTGCTGCTGATGTGTGGAATGTTCTTGGGGATGGTGGAGAGCTGGTCACTTCTGGTGTGGTCCACGTCTTAGTTTCTGTTCCAGAGAGAAGGCAGGTACCTAAAATTCTAAGGCTGAGGGCCCACTGGCTTTGAGGGTTTTTTCCCTTTCCTGCAGAGCTGGGGGTTGAACCCAGTGCATTGTACATGCCAGGAAAGTAATCCAGCACCAAGCTCCACTCCAGCTCCTGTCCTAGATGCTTGGCGGGACTTGACAGGATCACTTTCCTCCCTGGATCCCTGAGACAGATGACACAGTTGCACGCAGGGAGCTCATACTCAACATTAAGCATGAATTAGGATGAGTCTTAGAATTTGCCCAGATAGACGGAAGTCCCCAAGTTTAAAAAGTCCTAAGTACAACTAAGAAAGAAGTTAATATCCTCCCAGGACCTCTTCCATTTGCTGACTACCCTGCCCTGTGCTCATTCAGGGGAGCCCAACATCTGCTAAAATTCATTCCTACTAGATGCCAAACATGCCAGATTTCCCAGAAAAAGTGGCCGTTGAAATAGACCATTAAAGTCCCAGTAGCAATAATAATGGTCCCTATTACATACTAAATGGAAAATATTAACAATACATTCCCCATTCACAGAGAAGGGAACAGAAGCAGAGAAAGTCCCCTCTTTAAGGCAGCAGGGCTAGGAAACGGCTGGGTTGGGATTTGAAATGTTTCAATAATACCAGGATCCTCATATTTTCTACTTTTCTGACTTGAGAATGAAAAGAAACCAGAATGCTACAAAAAACAGATGCATTCAATATATAAAATGCTTCAATATGTGTGGAGCTCAAACAACAACCTGGAGACTGAACAAATCTTGGCCTTTATCCAAAGCAAAACACAATTATCTCTATAGCTACAGATCTGGGACAGCTTTTGGATTGCAGGGAGAATTAGAAGGCACACACATCAAACAGCAATAAAGCACAAATAACCACAAAGGAGTCTTAAGCCATCACCAGGACTTGCTTTGGTAAAGAGAAAAACAACAGAACCGGGCGTGGTGGCGCATGCCTGTAATCCCAGCACTCAGGAGGCTGAGGCAGGAGGATTGTTTTGAGTTTGAGACCAGCTGGGCTACAAAGTGAGCTCAAGGCCAGCCTGAACTGCATAGTGAGACCCTGTCTCAAAAAGAGAAAAACAAAACAAAACAAAAAACCCAAAAAAGAAAAACAACAACTCATATTTGTCAATTTCTTGGGGATGGTGTCAAATTACACTTTCCAGGAGAGAAAAAGGAGATGGATGAAAAGCTTATTTCTTTGGCATAAGTCTTGTTGCATTCTATTTATTTATTTATTTGGCCTTTTTTTTTTTTGGTCTTTTTCAGACAGGGTCTCACTGTGCAGTTCAGGCTGGCCTTGAGCTCACTTTGTAGCCCAGGCTGGTCTCAAACTTGCAAAGATCCTCCTGCCTCAGCCTCCTGAGTGCTGGGATTACAGGCATGCGCCACCACGGCCAGCTTGTTGTGTTTTATTTAAATGGATATGATCACTGAGAATCAAAAGGGCAGGACTACCAGGCGAGGTGTGCAGGCCTTAATCCCAGCTATTTGGAAGTTCAAGGGCAGCCTGGCACTTCAGTGAAAACCCATCTGGATGAGGAAAAGAAAACAGGGCAAGATTGTTTTTCAAATCATACCTACATGAAGCACAGTTAACAAATATTTGGTGTCAGCTATGTGCCAGATCCTAAGTTAATTTAAATCCTTGCCAAATGAACAAATGATGAACTATTACTATTGCAATGTGGTGGAAAAAGAGAAAAATAAAGGGGAAGCAGAGAGGTTAACTCACTTGCTCAAGGTCACGGTTTTACATAGCAAAGATGGCCCTTGACTGACCCCTCTCTTTCTCCCTCCTTTCTTTCTTCCTTCCTTTCTTTCTTTCTAATGTGGTTCTGAGGACTGAAGCCAGGGACTCAAGGAGAATACTAGGCAGGGGCTGTACCCTGAGTCATGCCCTGAGCCGTCACCAAAGCCTCATCTGTACTCTGGCCATGTTCTCTACCACTTCTGTTCCAAGCAAACTGGCTTCTGAATAGACTAAGCCGTCTGCTGAGCGGCTATAGTTTCCGACTACGTTCTGAACCCTGGGAACTCAACAGTGAGCAAACCCTGGTCTTCAAAGCACTGATATTCCCAAGAGGGAGGGCAAGAAGAACAACCAAACAACCAAATTGAATGAAGGCACAAGATACTATTTAAATGCTGTGACAAAATTTCAATACCAGACACATAAGAAAATCGAGTCCCAAATGGTACAGTGGCACATGCCTGTAATCCTAACTACTTGGGAAGCTGAGGCAGAAGGATCACAAGTTGAAGGGCAGCCTTGGCAACTTAGCAAGATCCTGTTTTAAAGAAATAAAGTGCAGCTGGGCATGGTGATGCATATCTGTGCTGAGATCCTGTCTT